CCCTGAACCCTAAAACCTGAACCCTGAAACTTAAACCTTGAAACTTAAAGCCTAGCCTGAAAGGATCATTAAACCCTCAAAGATATCCACTAAGGAACTTTCAGTATGGAATCAAAAACCCGAAGACATTGGGCGGCAGATGCTCTCATGGGCCGGCAAAGATTCGGCATGGCAAGACAAGAGCTTGGCAAAGAAGATCGTGAATGCCCGCTGGAGTTCCAATCGCAGCCGGGGCACAAAGGGGAAACAACACCAGGCCTGGTGGCGTTCGAAGACGGCGAGCCAGAGGCAGTGGATCAAGCAGCAGCAGAAGAAGACGAAGGGCTGCTGGTGGGAGAAGGGCACCGACGATAAGAAGGACCAGGGCACCGACGATAACAAGAATAAGGTCAAGGTGGAGGGTGGCCACAATAAAATGTGGGTTGGTACCGACCCGATTGATGTTGAAGAAGATCTCGACGAGGAGGAAGAAGACGATGAAGAGGTTCCCTCGCCTTCTATCCCGGATAAGAATTTCCAGGACAAGGGCCCTGGCCCTGATGGCAACGACGGCGATCGCCCAATCCTAGGACCCAGCGAATGGGTGATCTAGCTAGCTTCGCGATGACAGAGTGCTGCAGTGTCAAAAAAGGAGCACACCCGAGCTCCTGAAGAGGAGCTTAAGCTGCAGCTCCTAGGACTGTGCCATTTAGTTGCCTAAAATGCTTGCCAGGAGCTCGATCCTTCGATGTGGACGAAGAGAAGACCCTGCTACGATTGGCAGGCTCGGCAGATCGAGAAGGGTGTGTTTTTTCGAGGGCTGGGGTCAGTTCAAGTCTCTTGCTTGTGAAAAACAGCACATGCCTCGATCGACCACCATATGTTTTGATTTTCGACTTTGGTGGCAGGACCCAGCTGCGTGGAGCACCAGACCATGCAGCAACGAGGCCTTTGCACTTTTGGTGGTTGTGGTTCGATATTAGAAATCCCCATAAACCCAAACCCTCAACCCCTAAACCCCTAAACCCTTAAACCCTGAACCCCTAAACCCTTGAACCCCTAAACCCTTAAACCCCTAAACCCTTAAACCGCTAAACCCCTAAACCCTGAACCCCAGGGGCTCAAAGCCCCTGAACCCCTAAAGGAGTCGGGAATTAAAGAGTCCCACATGTGTTGCCGTCTGCAGCAGCTGCAGACTTGAGAATATATATCCTAGGCCTGGTTACGGGTTCAGGGTTTGGGGGCCTAGACCTTATATTCTAGGGTTGTCGTGTGTAGCTTGTCGATATTGAGAAGTTCGGCCGGTAAGCTTCTCAAGCCTTATATCCTAATGCCCTAAACTGGTACCCTAGAAGCCCTTAACCCAAACCTTTCTCACAAAACCGCTGAACCCTAAACCTCCTAGCCTTCAACCCTTGGACCCCTAAACCCTCAACCCTAGAATCCCCAAACCCTCAGTCACTTGTTGCCTGCTGCTGCAGCTGCATAGATCTCGAGAGTTGATCCTTCCGTTGCTTAAGTACAGCGAGAGCCATGCCTGGACAGGACACGGTTTGCAGGTTGACACTATGAACGGTTTGTTGAAATTCTGATCTATGTATACTGTGTGCAGGACAGCCAGCGAGATCGTTCCAGGTCACCGCCATTAAAAAGAAGGTGGAAATGGTGCTGGAAATCCTGTCAGTGGGGTGGGCAAACGACATTCAAGCCTAATTCATTTTCTTGTCACATATACATGCAATGGCTGTGTAGGAGCGACCTGTGTGAACCAGAGTCTGCTCCTTCTGTGAAAGCATAAGGATCTGGTACTGGGTGTGGTGGCTTTCCGAAGACTGAGTACCATCGTGACGAAGACCGTAAGCGGCCACCGGCCACTGTGTGCAGCTGGAATTCATATTGCACCGACGTGCCTCTGATAATAGCTTCTTTTCGGTGCTGCGAGAAGACAAAGTGTGCTTGCCAGCAGCACTAGTAGACACACTATAGCAGCTATAGCAGCAGCACCACCAGCACCAATACGGCCACCCACGGCCAGCACCCTGAAGAAGAGCAACTCGCAGGACAACCAACACAAGAAGCAAGCAGCAGCACTTCCACCAGACAGCAACACGGACACCAACAACAGACAGCACGATTGCTAGCAGCAACACCGTCACGAACCGCTGACACCAACAGCAACACCAGAACATCCAGGAGCACCTTAGGGTTTAGGCTTCGGGCGTTGGGTTTATGGTTCAGGCTACTCGTACCGTGTCCATTCAGGATATTGAGAAATTCCTTGCTCCTCCTCGGGCACCTATACCCTTGAGCCCTTAAACCCTTAAGCCCCTAAACCCTTAAGCTGCTAAACCCTTAAGCCCCTCAGCACTACAGCTAAAATCCCTACCCCAGAATCCTGGAACGACCAAGCCCTGAGCCCAGGCGTGGCGGCGAGGCTGGTACCACTGCCCTGGTACTGTTGCTCACCAGGTGGCTTTCCTAGTTGCTTTTGGCAAGTGCAAGCCTGCTACCTTAGGCCGAGAGACAGGAGCTTTGGCTCCTCTATGATTCAGATGAGGATTTTAGCTCAGTGGTCTAGATGTTCAGAGATCCATGGGGCAGGGGTTAGGGGGAGGGTTTACGGTCCGGGGTTGTTGGGATAATGTTTCTCTATCTCTGGGTGGTGCCTTGCAGGGCTGGATAATGGTGTGTTTCGGTCGTGTGAGATTCAGGAGCAGCTGTGCTCCTTTAAAGGTTAAGACTAGGAGTTGTTGCACTGGCCTGTGCTTGTTGTTTTTTTGTGGAAGAGTTAAACATTGGTTAAATTTAACTTTCCTTTAACCTGGATTTAACCTTCCTGGAAGATTCTATCTAGAGGAAGTGCAAGGTTAAATGAAAGTTAAATAGAGGTTAAATTTAACCTTTGTTTAACCTGCGTGGTTTGCCATGGCCAGGCTTGCTGGTCCTGCTGAACCCAAAGTTGCCCTGTGCAGCCGACAGGCCAGTGCCAGGGTGAGGGCATTAAGATGTATAGTTTGGAGCCACAGAACCAACAGGGACACTAGCCTTGGCTGCACGGCTGCAGTGGGGCCATCGCCAGCAGCAGCAAGGGACCAAACATAGCTGTTAGTAGCAGACCATAGAGGAATAGCACCAGCGGCACCACCACTAGTACCCACAGCCGAAAAGCAAGTAACATGAGCACAGTTACCACCAACAACACCAGCAGTGGCAGCAGCAATCCTACGGGAACCACTAGCACAGCGGCAGCACCAGCAACCACCAATAACACAAGCAGCAACCTCTAAACTCTTACACCCCTCAACCCTAACCCTCCCGACCCTGCAACCTAGCCTAAATCCCTCCACCCCTAAACCCTTAAGCCTAAGCGAGTAAACCTATAAACCCCTAAATCCCTAAGCCCCTGAAGCCCTAATGCCCTAAACCTCTTAGCCCTAAACCCGTGGCCCAGGTGTGTGGCGAGGCTGGTGCCGGTGCCTTGGTCCTGTGGTTGTTTGCTTCTTGGTTTTGGCCTTCTGCAGAAAGACAGGAGCACTCGCTCCTCCAACACTCTGTTAAGTCTTGCTTGCAAGAGATAGGAGCATGTGCTCCTATGTACAATATAGCAAAACCCTGGAACCTAGAACCCTATCTTCTTAAATCCTCTACACCACAGAACTGGGAAGCTAAGACCCCAAATCCCGAACCCCACTGAGGCCCAAACCCAAACCCTAATCCCAAAGACCCGTCAGGATGTGCACATCACCCTTGTATCTTTCTCCTGAATCGTTGCGGTCCTGGCAGCTGTGTGCTGCTCCACATCGCCTAGATCCACCTTTGCTTTTGTTTGCCATGGCACCCAAGGGTAAGCCTGCTGCCGCCAAGGGCAAAGCCGCTGCCAAGGCAGCCGCCGAGGCCAAGGCTGCTGCTGCAGCGAAGAAGAGCCAGCAATCCAACATGGTCACTCAGCTCAAGCAGGCGAAGAAAAAATTGGATCAGGCGATGATCACGGGCGAGGAGCTCGACCCCGACGTGAAGAAGTGCCTCGAGCACAAGGCCGCCTTCCTGTCCGAGTACAACAGCTTGGGCCTTTTTGACGGCAAGAAGCAACAGATGCTTGAGATGTGGAAGACGGACAAGAGCTTGAAGCAGTGGGCAGAGTCGAAAACAACCCACTCCTCGACGACGAGTGTCACCCAGGAGAAGCTGGAGAACTACGGTACCAAGCTGCTAGGTGTTTTCGTATGTGGTTGTAGTTTTGAAAAGTTCTGGGAGGGCAAAGCTGTTGAGTCATGTGTGCCTGTTGTCGTGTAGCCCCGGTGCTTGCCTGCGTAATTTTGCTGTGTGGCTTACTTAGTAACAGAGACCTCTGGAAAGAGATAGGAGCATTTGCTCCTCCGATATATATAGGAGCATCTGCTCCTGAAACAAGCAATCCAAGAACACTTGAACCTTTAAGCCCCTAGAACCTTTCATCCTAAACCCCTATCCCCATTGAACCCCAAACTTTGAAGCAAAAGACCCTAAACCGGGAGATCCGAAATAAATTCCTTGATGTCATCAGCACTAAAACTAGAACCTGAATATATTAAGGACTCGTGTGTCTATACACATGTGAGGTTCGATGTGGCCAAGCTCCTGAATTTGGATCCGGACTCGAAGGAGCAAAGCAAGATTTTGAATGCGGTCCTACACGACCTACCTCAAGATGATGCATGGGACGAAAGCAACCCCATGGAAAAATGCTTCAAGCAGATGAACATGATTCGCTACACCTTCTCCAAGAACTTGGGTGTCTCTACCAAGCGTGGCAAGGAAGAAGTTGATTCTTTCGTTCACACAAGGGACGTTTGTGGCAAAAAGCTCAAGCAAATGCTCGAAGATGGCGGCTCCGGCGGCTCGGGCGGCTCGAGCGGGGACCCAGCGGTCAAGCTGGAGCACTGCCAGCCCAGGAGAAGCACAAAGAGATCGTGCTAGCTCTGAAGACAGTGAAGACTCTAGTGAATCATTTCAAGAGATTTAAAGCCGTGCAAGAAAAGTCTGGAGAGGATGCCCCGGCAAGTCTCACCAAGGGTTTCAGCATGTTAGAGGCGTTGGAAGCTGATCTGCTAAAGCTACAATTGGCAAACGTTTCGCAACTCGCTGAGGAAGAGTGCAAGGCATGGGTGTCTTCTGCAGTTGACCTACTTGCTCATTATGAGAATATCAAGAGGGTTGCAGAGCAGAGCAAAAAAGATCTTGCAAAAATGTTCCCAGAGTCGAAGGCGGCCTAGCGAAGCTAGCACGTCGATCGTTTTCAGATGCAGCCGACAAGTGCTAAGCCATGTTGTCGTTTTGGGTTGCATGCAACAGGTCATCATGATCATATGTTGCACCGCTGGATCTAGAGCACCGCCGCCGGCTGCACAAAAAGATGCGAGAGTGCATGCTATGCGAAGGTTTTTAGCAAGTGCATCAAATGTGCTTGCATGCAGCAGCTTTTGCATCGATCATTGCGACGGATCGATAGAATGCAACTTGTACCCTCTATGGGTTTGGCAGAATTAGGACAGTGAGTGAAATAAGACTAAGCCGATATAGAATGAGATTCTAACACAAGTTTTAATCTGGGCCTAGCAAATTATTGTTTCCTTCGATTCTAGCCTCAGCTTTCGATCGAGAAGCGACAGCTATATAGGTGCTTAAGCACCTATGTACAGACATATCTACAGCACACAGATATAGTTTACATATATAGATCGACATGCGTTAGATCGATAGTATACGTATACATCTATATATATATATATACACACACATACATGTACTTACACATGCATGCATACATATAACATAACAAGACATACACAGGGGCAGTGCAGCCCCTCTTCAGCAAAGATGGTTTTATTCATCGCTCGAGCCCTGGCTTTGCTGATATTTTTCATTTCTGCTATCACGGGCGAGGCTGTTCGCGGCGATAAGGAACCTCTGCCCACTCTCAAGCGGCAGAGTGAGGCGAAGTCGTCGGCTGCAAAAGCCAAGGCGGCTAAGGTTTCGGAATCAACATCTTCTGAAGCAAGGCCTCCATCGCTGAGGAAAAAAGTTGGCGAGACCTTCCTACATAATAAGCTGTCTGCAAAAGATATTTTTGAGATATCCCAATCTGCTGCGGCAGAAGCAGGCAGTTCCAGCTCTGTGAATAATTTTGCAGCGGCAGGTGCCGGAGGCCGGCAACCTGGAAATTTTGCGAGGGATTTGCTCAGGAGCCTTTGCAGGGGAGCTCCTTTGGAACTTTTCTGGTATGACATTCCTTTTTGGGATCCTGCAAGTGACTCAGAGATTGTACAACCTCATCCATTTTTGCTTCCTCACGAAGTTATACATCATCTGGTTCATCAACAAGGTTTGAAGTCTTTCGTCGTTAAAGCAGCCCAGCGTGCTGCGAGAGCCCAGCTTATCAAACAGTGCGACAAATTTGGTTTGGACCCAGATGAGACCATCAGCATTGGGATGCATGGTGATGGAGTACCTTACACGAAAAAGGAGTCCCTGGAGATTCTCAGCTTCAACTTTTTGGCGAATCCTACTGGGGATAGAGTTCCGATCACCGCCGTTTCCAAGAAGTGGGCTACCCAGAAGACTTGGGAGTGCTTGCTGAACGTGATTACCTGGAGTTTGCGGATGCTGTTCCTGAAACAGGTCTCCAAGGTTTTGCCCGATGGCAAGCCGTGGAAACATCGGCGAAAGGTGACTGGGCAGTTGCCCGGCTGCCTCTTGCTGCAGTGTAGGGGGGACTGGCCGTTTTTGCGATCCCTGTTTTATTTTCCTGCGTGGAATTCTCAACAAATCTGCTGGAAATGCTCTGCAAGCCAAGAAGGGCCTCACAGCTACAAAAACACAGGTGCAGATGCTTTGTGGCGGAAGCACAGGGTAAGCGACCATGAATTTTTGAGATCTTTGCGGGAACAAAACGTTTTCGTTTGCCCGCTGTTGAGTTTACCAGGGTTCGAGGTCTCTTGCATATTATTAGATTGGCTCCACGTGGTGGACTTGGGCTGTGGAGCGGATGCTATCGGGAACTTATTTTGGCATTTGATTGCAGAGCCAGGTTTTTATCCAGGAACTTCCAGGGAGGCTCGATTGAAACAACTTTGGGCTCGCTTGAGGACGTGGTATCAAAGGCACAAGCCTGCGTCTGTCCTGGACAATCTGACTGTGGAAATGGTGCGAAGATCCAAAGCGACTAGCAAGCCGAAGTTGAAAGCTAAGGGTGCCGAATGTCGCTATCTAGTCCCGTTCTGTCATGAATTGGCAACCGAGATAGCAGAGGGCAATCCGGAGGACCACGTCATGCAAACAATTGCAGGCCTTTTTAGTCATTTGTTTGCTTTGCAGCAATGGGTTGCAGGGAGCCTGGGAGCCTACGACTTCAACAAGGCATCTGAGGAGTGCAGACGTTTTTGTGTCTTGTATGGGAGCTTGCAGTCCCAGGCGACGTTTCCACTGTGGCATTTCAAACCCAAGATGCATCTGTTGCAAGAGATGGTCGAGTATCAGAGCGAGGAGCACGGGAATCCCCGAGAGTTCTGGTGCTACCGGGATGGGTCCTGGTGCGGCTTTTGGGCGAAAGCCAGCAAAAGGCGTGGTGGCCACAACACCCCTGCTACTACTGCTCGTACTTTTTTGTTGCGGTACTTAGCCTTGGAGAAGCTTGCCACAGAAGACTGAAAACTTCGCCCGCCTTGAGGAGCAATCGTGCTGCCTCTGCTCCTGTTCATGCTGAGGGTCGCACTATATTATAATCAAATAATATATATATATATAATGCTATATATATATAATGCTATATATATATATACATACATAAATATATATATATATATATATTGCACATAATGGCCCCCTTAATTTTTCTACTATTTCAATTTGAACTTTCTGTTGCCTTATAAGGCAACAGAAAGTTCAAATTAAAATAGTAGAATAAGTGCCTTCAGCACCTTCTCAGAATCGATTTGCAGCCAGGTGTGTCAGGAGCCTGCAGCAGTGCATGTCTAGGATCGATGGATCATGCCGTTTTTTATTTGCCGCAGCCGTATATCTCCAAATGCCATCCTTCCGCAGCCATGGCTAAAGTGGTGCTGCTGTCTAAGCTGGACCCCAAGGGCAACAAGGGTGCATGGCTTAGGCTGAAGGAGGACGAACTGGCGAGAACCAGAGAAGAACTCTTGTACCACTTCGGCTGCTCTGTGCTGGACGGTGTGCACGAGACCGGTAGCAGCTTCCACAAGTACGAGGAAGTTTGGTTTGTTGTGGAGAAACCGTTAGTCGACCACGGCTTGGACAACAGTGCGGTAGCACTACAGGTCTGGGATGTACAGATGCAAAAGCATGTCAGTTTCGCTTTCAAGTATGAGAGCTCCGTCGACCTTCATAGCTTGGACTAAAAATGTGCCTTGCTGTGCATGTTGCAGTCTTTGCATGTCTATTCGGTGTATATAAGTTTATAATTCTATTTTTTTGATGCACGTATTGCATGAAATCTTATGGTATATATATATATATATATAGACACACAAATCATATATATATATATATATAACATACATCATATACTGCATGCATATCTATGATTATATACATGCATGTACATGTGCATACACATATATATTAAACATATATGTATATATGCACACACACATGCATATATATATATACACATGCATGCACATTTTTTACATATATATATATACACATACACACATACACAAACCCACATATATATATATATATATACATATACATATACATACATGCATACATACCGGCATATGTATCCACATACAAATAAAACTATATATATATATATATATATATTGTTTTGATAGATAGATAGATAGATAGACCCCCGCTGGTAAGTACATTTTTTCGTGGAAATTACTTTCCGGCCGGTTTTTGTCTTCTTTCTTTGGGTCCTATCAGAGGCTGATAGAAGCGCCCCCCCTAATGTGGTACATCCTGTCAGCGCCCCCCTATCAGCGCCTGATAGGATCCATCAGACACTTACAGGCAGTGCCGGATGCTCTGGGTAGAACTCCCGGGCAGTCTCCCTATCCGCGCGCTGTGGGCTTTGAAGTCCAAGCCTGGAGAGTCCGTATGTTTGGTAGAGTTCCTCCCATCGGACGTGGGTGTGATGGAGGGAAGCATGGAGCTCTAATGCAGCAACAATGCCCCACCAATGGGAGGGGGAGGCAATGATCAATGGGCCCGTGGGTCGTGTACTGCCTGCTGTGAGCCGTTGGTGGGCGTCTTCTCCCGACATGGTAAAGCGCCCCGCCCTGTCTATAAGGCAAATGTCAACCGCCCCCGTGGTGCCAGCACACACTGTGGTGGTGAAAAGGTCAATAAAGGCTCCCAGTTCATTGTGATGGTCATAAAAGAAGGAGAAAAGGGATGCGGCCTGCTCCTCAGTGGCTAACTGCCCCGGAGGAGGGAGCTCTGGCAACCATTCCGAAATGAACTCCGCAAAGGAGGTGCCCTCAGCCACGACCCTGTGCGCGTCACCTGTGTCGGCGTTGGCGGGGCGCGCATTGCTGAAGCCAAGACCATGCTTGAGAGAGTCAAAAACCCTAGTGGTCGGTGTAACAACCGTGATTTTCCGTCCTGCCTGAACAGCAAATCGATGTCCGCAGACATTGTAAGCGAGGACCAGCAGGACACAGAGCAATTCCACTAAGTTCCCCTGGTGCATGGCCGATGATGTCTGCTTCGGTAATCGAATGAAGTACACGCCTGGCTGATGAGAGCCATCAGCCGCCACTCACTGCAGTCGCCGTGCGGGGGTATCCGCCGCCAATTCTCCAATGGTAATCGGGCACGGAGAGGCGTCAGTGGCCTTGTGCAGGACTATTGATTGCGGGTACCTGACGGCAGTGATAAGCAGATAAAGATCGGCCAGCAATCGGGTGGAGGCAACTAGGGCTAAGTTCAAGCAAACCCCATTAATAGGGGCTAGGCCTTCAGCTTGCATAGCTGTATTGGCCGGCGCAAGTATTGCGCCGACTGCCGACAGCCGGTTGAGGTAGCACAGGATCGCTTCGCTATGGGAGGCCGACTGGTGGAGGAAGTCCACCGCAATAGCCGCTGGCGTAAGGCGACCGGGGTGTGAGGTTGGAGGCGATACGCACGACTGCGATGAGCGCTGAGTGCTGCTGGGCTGTCCAAAACACAGTTTGCTCCAACACAGCGTCCATGCAGACCAGAGCGCACCACAAGGAAAAGGTTTTGGAAGAGCCCGCGCACCCCAAGATGCTGAGCGAGCTGCGTCTTTGTGCCCGGGCAGCCAGAATGGCCGATATGTGTCCACTCAGGAGTCCGTCCGGACTGTTGAGCAACTCATCGATGTGTCGACAAAAGGTCTGTCCCATGAGGGCAGCCAAGGTGTGCAACTCAGGTGGGACCAATGCCGCAGGCAAGCGCCAGTTTTTGCTGAAGGGATCCCGGGGATTGAAGCGCTCCGCCACTGGATGAAGGGCCCGGATGCGCTTCTTGAGTGCGACAAACTCGGCCGGCGTCAAATTTGGGGCAGCTGGGAAGTGAGGAGCAGGGGCGGCCGCCTCCACGGCTTGCAAGAAAGACAGCACAAGGTGCCCCTCAGCAGCGAAATGGCACCGGGGTCTCGGCGCAGGCTGGGTGCACGGCCGGATGGGCATGCCTACCTACGTCGCCCCGGGACTTAGGAGGGACTTATAAGTACTTATAAAAACTTATGTTGTAAGTTATCTTAAGTCTTTATAAGTTGGTTTTAAGTTATCCTAAGTTAAACACACGTTTTCGAAGCACTTTTTCTCGCGGCACGTTTTTTGTCCTTTGTCAAGCAATCTTTGTTGCCGTCCGGTGTGCTAATGCAGCAAAATTACCTTCGACCCGTCATCGAGAGTCCAGGCTGGGCGTACTGCCCAAGACAAGTCTGTGAGCTTGACAAAGCACTCTTGGCCTTGCTTGGTCCAAGTGCTATAATCTACTTTCCAGCTGTTGCAACACATGCGTGCTGCGACAGCTACAGCCCCATCTGCGCACATAAGAAAGCCGAGCACATGCACTGCAACACGCTCAGACAGGATGTACATTCCTGAAGGGAAATTTTCACCCTGACACTGTGCGTGTGCATGCAGGGTCTCACCGTCATGCTGCACTTTAGGGCCCGAAAGCACAGCTCGACTGGACCAGTTGCCTGTCCAGCTGCGGTCCTTAGACAGCAGTGAGGCCAGGGCTGTGGTCTCAAAGTCTGCACGGGGACAGTCTTTGCCGCGAAGCTGCGTTTTGAAAACCTTGTTCTTTCTCTCGCAGACAAAGCAATCCACGAAGATCTGCAGGGCGATTGCAGGTTGCGAGGTGTGGAAGCCATAGTGATGCTTAGGCTTCACATGGCAAACACCGTAGCATCCTTTAAAGGCCTGCAAATGCTGTTCCTGCAGTCGATGGAGACTGTCGACATGAGCTTGGCTGATGCATTTCGTATTGAACTTCAGCGTCAGAATCCCGCGGCAGACCTTGTTCAAGCGATTCAGGGACTCGACTTCACCTGGGAGGTTTTGTGCCAGAAATTCCTGTCCGTAGTAGTTGAGCAAGGGTAGACACAAGAGCGTCTGCTTCGCGTCGCCCTTGTAGTCTAGACCTGGCTCTAGCAATCTGTCAGACACGAGTTCCGCTGCCTTGATGTTGCTAACGTGAGGCCTCCAGGGCAGAGCTGCGAGCTGGGACAGTTCTGCCTGGTCGAAGCCTGCACGTTTGGCTTCGCAGTTGACTGTTCCCTGACTCCAATTGCAATGCATGGCGTCATAGATGCATCTCTCCGCAATCAAACGACCTGGTTGACATACTATACTTTGTGACACCCATCGCCAGCCCAGTAAGGTCTGACTCTGTTCAAGCTGGGTCTTGTTCGGCAGAGCAGCCAGGTGAGCCATGTAGACATCGAGTTGAGCTTGCGTGATGGGCCGGAATTTGCGGAAGTCGTGACATGCGATGGTTTCGTGGCCCTCTATTTGGGGTCGGCTTTTGTCCAGTGCATTCTGGCAGAGAATGCAAGGGCGAAAGCCCGAGCTGCCTTTAGCACCGACCGCTCCCTTCAGAGCAGCCTCATCTGCTAACAGATAGCAACACCTCGTCCGGATGAGGTGGCTCTGGTGCTTGCTGTCTTGGACAGCAAACCCTTCGAAGCAAGGCTCGAGATGGGCGACAATTGCGCGTGTCACGGCGGCAAGGCCGCCAGCGATCTCTTTAACCTTGCTTTGTCTGATGACGAAGATCACGACCCAAGAGAACTCGCTTCGAATTGCTTTCTTCAACTCGGCCCAGCTCAAGTAGAAGAGATAGCTCCGTCTCGCACTGTCCGGACGAAGCACATTTCCAGGAACAGCCTCGTCAGTGTACAGGAGGCCCTGCAAACCTCCTTGACTGTATGTCGCTTGAGCGGCGGTCGTCAAGAGATCTGCCCAGTCCGGAAAACGCACGCAGGCCTCCTGCACCCACTTCTGCAGGTTAACGATTGGAAACGACAGCGTGCTGCCGTCCTTGTTTCCCTGCAGATGTATTCGCTCCATCATCTCTTCTGGCAGACCATAGCGGCCCTTCAGGCTGTGCTTGGAGCCCGGCTCTCCCATCCGGTGGAGTATGCGTTCTTGCTGCGTCAAAGGCAGGTTGCTCTCTTCCCGCAGCACAGCCCGCAAGTCCTCGCCTGTGCCCTGCGGTGCTTTTCTCTTCCCCATGCTTCTGGCTACTCAACGGTGTATGGCGGGTTTCTATATAGGGCTTAGAGCGAGGTTTAGAGGGTTTAGGGTTGAGGCTTGGAGGGTCGCTCAGCCTTGGTGGCCCATCCGGTGGAGTATGTGTTCTTGCTGCTTCAAAGGCAGGTTGGCTTTTTCCTGCAGCACAGCCCGCAGTTCCTCGCCTGTGCTCTGTGTGCTTTTCTATTCCCCCTGCTTCTGGCTATAGGGCTCCGACTGAGGTTTAGAGGGTTTAGGGTTGAGGCTTGGAGGGTAGAGGGCTTTAGGGTTCAGGCTTATATGGCTCTGCTTCAGCTGGAGCCGAAAAAGCGACACGGTTTCAAGAGGCATGCTAAAAAACAAAGCTGCAAAAGGCTGTCGTGGCCGCCGTTGTTTTGCTTCTCTCGCCGACCCAAAGGCGTCCTCTGTCATCCTTGTATAGATGAAGGCATCGCATGCGAAGCTGCATCACAAAACTTAGAGCGAGCAGCAGCAGCTGCGTCGCTTAGTCCCTAGAGGCTTTCAAGGGCGTCGCCTCTGCCTTGGCGGGAGTGCCTTGCCGCGAGGACGCTGCAGGCGAAAGCTGCGTGGCCAGGCTGGTCTGCAGGCTGTCTTCCAGCAGCCGGAGCAAGGCATCGCCGCGAGCTTGCAGTTCGGCCACGTGGTCTAGCACAGCGACCCGCGTGTCCTGGCCGGACAGTGTAGGGGCAAGGGCTTCCTGCACGTCGTCTTTGAGCTTGGCAACCAAGAGGCGGTGCTCCGAGCTGAGAGAAGACTCGGGAGAGACCAAAGCTTGCTGCAGCTGCTGCTGCAGTTCCACGAGAAACACGGGCTGCAGCCCCAAGCGCCGCTTCGCTGCAGGAGTAGCGCAGACCTCCACCTCGGAACTCGCTGCGTCGTCCTGGTCTGAGCGAGGCCCCGGCAGGACCAAAGTAGTAGCGTTCGAGTCCGGCGTCGTCGGTACCTCTGCAGGCTCGGCTTCCTCCTCCTGCTTTTTCGGCTGCTGGAGTTGGCGCTTCTGGCCCTTTTCCTGCGTCTTCGGCTCGGTGTCGGTCGCGGAGGATTCAGTCTGCTGCGAGCTGCAGTAGCCGCGTAGGTTCAGGTGGAGCCCCAGGTCTTTCCCTGCACCCGCATATAGCCGGACACCTTCCTTGGAGACAGTGGCGCGCACGTTCATGCTTGCCACTCTGCAAGGCTTCGGTCTATATCTATCCCTCGGCCTTGAGCCTAAACCTTCAGAGCACCACAGATGTTGCGTCATACACGGCAACAGTGCAGCCAAGAAAGGATGAGATAGAACATATTATATTATATATACAGTCATTTTTTTTTGGGTTGAGGGTTTAGGGTTTAGGGTTTAGGGGTATCGAGAACTAAGGAAAGTGGTAAACCAAAGGCATACGATAGGCGATGCAGCACTTTCTCCCGAAGCAGGGTCTTGCTGCCGTGAGTCTCCCCTTGAGCGATCGCCCTGATGCGGGCGGGCGATCTCTCTGTATCATACAGGATACGAAAAGAAATTAATTAGAGCGGGCGGGCGAAAACGACCGCGGGCCTGCGTGCAAGTTCAAGCCACTCACTGGTTCGGCGTAGTCTTGGCTCTGCGGCGCTTGGGCGGCGCCTGGGCGGGGGCGGGTTGCCCGGCGTCGGTTGCGGCCGCAGCACGCTTCGCCCTCCTTGCCTCTTGCTGGTCGGACTTACGACACTCTTTCAGTGTCTTGGTTGCGGTTGCCGCGGTCTTCAGACGGGTGTCCACGTCTTCTTTGGAGAAAGGGAGGGTGAGCGGAACCTCACCTGCGTTCTCCTTCCTGGCGAGCACGTTCTCGCAGGCGGTCTTCCAGCTTTACAGCAAAGCGTGGGACTCTTTCAGCAACCCCAGGGTGGCCTCGTCGTCGCCGGGCTTCGTGCTCGCGAGGAGGAGTTCCGTCTGCAGCCAGCTGTTGGTGACCGGAGTCAAGACCTTGGCAGCCAGACCCAGGGTTTTCTTGTTTTTGTTGAGCAGCTCCTTCTCGGCCTTTTTCTCGGCCTTGTTTTCCTTCGTAGCCTGGGTTGTCTGGCTCGAGGCTTGCAGGTCCCAAGTCTTGCAGGTGCCTTTCTTGTTCTTCGCAACTTCTTTCACCCGGTTCACCACCTCGGTGCGAACCGTTCGCAGCACACTGCTCTGCGACACCTCTTTCACCTGCAGCCGACAGGTGCGCCCCAGAGTGGGGTCGTCTTCTTGGCGGCCCCGGGGTTTGCTATCTGTTTAGGGCACATGTGAGAAATAGTATGTAAAGCAAATGGAATTAGTATGTTCCATATGTGCATGTTAATGGACTTATATTTCATCGATGTATCACAAAACAGAAAGGTGATTTACTATTTAAAGCGGTCATTTACTATGTTCTTATGATGTTGCCCAAGTATTTACAGCACATAACAATTTTCGACCAGAAGATAGTAAGTATGATGGGGCAATTAGCCGTATATCTGTAATTGAACTTAGTGGACTTATCACAAGTCAGGCAAGTTAGGATAGCAACTTTATTTTGCATTCACATGGTTCGACATTGCTGCTCATGTCAACATATTTCCTTTGCTCGCTGGCCTCGTTGCCGAAGCAGGGCATGGGAAATATAATGCAGATCATGCACCATGGATGCCTCGCATATCTCGCAAAGTCGAGTGCTCAAGACTTGCAGGTCTCGCAAAGTCGAGGTTGGCCGTGATGTCGGTGCTTTCGCCCGATCTCATCGCCCAGGTGGACAGCATGCTGGACCAAGCCGCTGAAGGAGATCGGTTGGTCCGGACAGTGCAAGACTTGCTCCAACTTCTCAAGCAGAACAACTTGGTCACGAGCATGAGGCTCAGCCCCATGCACGTGGGCGTACACCCGAAAAACCGCGATGGTGCCGGGATTATCGCAGGCGACTGCTTGGAGTTGCTAGAGAATGTGCTGTCTGTCGGATTTGTTCGCGACCGCATCACAGCCCTGGCTGTGGAGATAACGGATGCATCCGTCCGTCGCTTCAACGAGGACCTCGTCCGAGGCTCCGGCGGCCAGCTGGGCGAGCTGGACGGTGACATGCTGAAGGTTGTGTCATTGGCTGGGTCGCATACAAATTTCATGCTGCGATTGTTGTCACAGGGGGCAGCTCTTTCTACTTCGGCGGCTTCGGTGGATGGACGGCTTTCATTAGAGAAAGTGGCCCGGCGAGACCCTGAGCTTGCCAATGCAGCCCGTGAGGGGCTGGTCTGGGATGTCATATCGAGGGAAGTGGCCACAAGATGGCCGCAGTTCCTGGGCCTCGTCCAATCGGCCATGAATGCTACGCTTCAAAAGCAGGAGTCCGAAATGCAGCTCTTGCATCGGGTTCATCGACTCGTCTCGGCCGTGGAGAAAGTTGACTTCTCCAGCATCAAAAAGCAAGCCTTGGCTTCCAAGCCACCTAGCTCGGCCTGCTTACCGGGCATTTTCTCATTCGCAGTCAAGCTCTCTGACTGCATATATAGATTTCATGCCATCTTGTTGTTTACATGCATTCCTGTTTGTGGTGTTGATGGTTTCGCTGAGGTTCTGTGGGGGTCGCGGCGGACACTTACTGTTGGAGTCAGAGCGATTCTTGAGAGCGAGGGGCCAGAGCAAGAGTATGGGTCCTGCATTTTGGGAACAATTGTCGCATGAACCGCGAGGATCAATCGCTATACCGTTTGTCCGTCATGGTCTGCTAAAGTTCGCCCTGAGCGGAGCCCACGATGTGTTTGCAAGCGATCTTCGGAAAGTTTGGTCGAAGGAGGGTTTGGACCAGGCGAAGACGGCGGATTCGTTGCTCTCACAGATCCGTGAGAAAATGAACTCTGCCGGCCTTGACCCGCTCAACAGCCCCGATGCCCTGCACATTCTCGGCATGACGGAAGTGAACATTGCCGCAAAGATTTTGGGGGTCGTGCAGCCGCAGGAAAAGCGCTACAAAAGCCTGCACGGCATAGCTCACGACTGTATGGTTTTGCTCAGCAAAATCAGCACCCAGGCACTCGAGAACCCGTGGGCCGACAAGGCCGAAGAGACGCCTTCGGGATCCGGCGATGCGACCACAGCACAGCCGAGCACGGTTGCCATGCGAGAGTTGCTTGACGATGGAACCTATGGTAACCCTGACGAGGTTATGCGAGAGGCAGGCTTTGAGGTGGGCTGCACGATCAAGCGAAAGAATGACAAAGACGAGTACATCATCCGTGGTGTGAAGAAGACTTATGTGCGAGTGGAGAACCAGTCCACTGGGGTCATAGTGAAAGCAAGCCTCGAATCCTTCATGAGCAAAGAGTGGACAAAGGTCGTTGCCAAGCCGCAGCCCTCCGTGATCGCAGACCTTACCCCCTTCAACCCCGATGAGAGTTTGGATTGGCAGGCCCACGTGTTTGTCGGTGCATTGTTGCAGGAGCTTCAGGGGCTGTGGAAGACGTTTGGATCGAGCAGTTTGCAAGGCAAGTTGAGCTTGCAGCTGAAGCCTTCAAAGGCACTCACGGCAACTGCAGCATTTCCGAAAAGGAAGCTCGTTCTCGTGCCGGTGACATCCAAGATTATCTTCAAAAACCCTGACGACACTTCGGGGATGCCTTCGGGGACACCTCTGCAGACAACATGGAAAAAAGACGGCAGGCTCTTCTTTGCAGTGTCCAGCAATCAATTGCCGAAAGAAGAAGGCGGGCACGGATTCCTCGCCCCGTATTTCGCAGTGCCCACGACTCCGGACGAAGAGCAGGCCAGTTTGGAGGAGTTCATGCACAAGGCTCCTCTCGCAAAATGGCCGTTGTTGCGCAACAAGGCAGCCATCAGCATCGGCGACTCCCTCTTGATCTACAAGCCTGTTTCGAAAGCGGCCGCGGAAGACCTTGAAGAGGCATCCCCTCTTGCTGCGAAACGTCGCCGGCTGAAGATGGGCTGAAGGGATCGCGAGTTTGCAGCATGCAGCTTCTGAAACTATGATATAGCCATGTATATATGGTATGCATGAGAATATGTTGGTGCGACTTTGTTGCATGCTGCTCAAGCAAGCATCGTGTATGAGCGAAGATTGAAATTGCCGGTTTCAATGGGCGGCAATGCATCGGTTTCAATCGGCATGCCTGGACGGTCATGCATATGCCAAAAGAGATTGAGCACATTGCTGCAGGCATATCATGCATGAGGTTGCAGTTTGCAGGCATTTGCAGGGCTATAGCAGCTCGCAATAGCCTCTGCAGTGCTTCATGCATGGCTCATGGCATATGATGCAGCTTCTTTGTCGCTCTGCAAGTTTGCTCATAAGGCAGCTATATATAGAGCCATGCTAGCAACCCTGAGTAAGTAGCCTCGGTCCTTATGGCGGGTCTCATGCTTGAGATGAATCAGATGTGGGGCTTGGATCAAGAAACGGTCCAAAGCAAGCTCCGGTTGGATGTGAAGCCCATTCGAGTCCGAGTGAAAGCTTCGCCAAGAAGCTTGTCCTTGCCCTCAAGGTGAACTATATCATGGTTGATTATAGATCCGGTCATCCATGACAATCATATATTTGAATCAAGTATAAGAGTCTTGATCAAATATTGCAGATTCCGACATATAAAGAATTGTTGACCAAATATATTGGTCGACCCAAATATATACAAAAGGATATGAAATTGATGCAAAGACGCTCACTCTTCTTTTCACGGCACAGCCGAGAGTCGTGGGAAGTTTTCAAGGAAAACGAATGTGCACAGGGCGTGCACCGGGCACTAAGAGTGCCCCTCCACTTAAGCAGGGGCACACGAGTGCCCCCCCAGAGTCCAGTCGCACGATGGAGTGCAACGTGACCACATTCTTCCCCCCCGGGCGGGTTGGGTGGGATCAAAAATTCTGGCTCGATCTCGAGACAGCTTCGATGATTGCAGATTCAATCATGAACAAGTGTGCGTTTAACCGCATGGTTTAAAAATCGTTACTCGACATGAGAAACGAAATCATGCAACAGCATTGAAAGTTGTTAAAAGTCTGGATTGTGAAGCACTACTAAGAGTAGCGCAAAGATTGTCATGGCCCAAAATTTTGTTGCTTACAAAATTTCGTTTGACCTAGGATCTATAAAACATCGACACGCACGCGTGAAGTGATGCTTATAGATCCGGTCATCCATGACAATCATATATTTGAATCAAGTATAAGAGTCTTGATCAAATATTGCAGATTCCGACATATAAAGAATTGTTGACCAAATATATTGGTCGACCCAAATATATACAAAAGGATATGAAATTGATGCAAAGACGCTCACTCTTCTTTTCACGGCACAGCCGAGAGTCGTGGGAAGTTTTCAAGGAAAACGAATGTGCACAGGGCGTGCACCGGGCACTAAGAGTGCCCCTCCACTTAAGCAGGGGCACACGAGTGCCCCCCCAGAGTCCAGTCGCACGATGGAGTGCAACGTGACCACATTCTTCCCCCTCTCGACTATGCGTTACGTTGCTTCAAGAGTGGCGCCTGTGACAAAGCAAGTCGGCACGTCACGAGTGACGGGACCAAGGAATGCCAGCTCCTCCCATCTGCCTCGGGATGGCGGATCCGCGATGTTGCTCTGGCTCGGTACACGATGAAACCACGGCAAGCACGGGCGTGCTTCATCGGCGGCCTCCAAGTGAAGAAGGAGACTCCTCCAAGATGCATCGATCGAGTTCGAGTTGATGCAAGCACTCAAGACGCCGGAATGGTCGACGAAAAATATGCATCGTTCGCCATCAATGTAACTCGACCACAGGATCCTGGCAAGCACGACCGCGTAAAGCTCGACCTGCCCTATAATGTGTTTCCTGCCCTCGGCCCATTGCTTGACGAGCTTGCTAGGAACCCTACAACCGAATGCCCTAGCAACACCCTTGCCGGGGACAAAGAGAACCCCCCCGACCCCAGTACTGAAGCCGCCCTCGCAAGGGTCGCATGCGCCATCTGTGAAGATGAGGACTGGGTTCGAGGCAGGGCTCGTCACAATGGCACGCGGCCTGCTCGCAAGAAGTCTTGCCCTCAGAACAGCCAAGGCATTCGATTGAGTATCCGTAAGGTTCAAGACACCCCCTCTGTCACCGAAGAGCCTAAGGTCGGCCAGGGCCAATCGCCCTGTGCGACCAAGCAGCTGAGCATCTGCGAAGCGAAGCTTCCCAAGAAGGGATGGCAGCTCCCGCGTGTCTACCTGGCCCTTTTCAAGAATGCGGCCCAAGGACTGTTCAAGCATGGCAGCTCGTTCGGGCTTGTTCGATACGAAGATGCGGCCCATGTCAGGATCGGAGGTATCCAGCACGACACCCAGCGTC